CATCCCTGGGAGGTGTTTTGTCCTCAGGGGGTTCTGTCATCACTTTTTGTGGGTGACTGGATTTAGCCAGTCTTTAATTAGTGGGCCTTTTGAAAAACAAATAGAAAGTTCAGCAAATGTTAGGAAACCTACTACCTCTTATTCTCCTATGTCAAGGACTGATGCTCTACAAATGACCCAGGTGAAAATAAATGCCACAAACCAAGCAGATGCAGAAATGCCCCAACACTGAGCATCACAAGCAGAATCTTTCAGTCTGACCAGGGAAGGTGAACATAAAAACAGTGCCTCACTATTAACCTCATCTTTTTTTTTTTTTCTTCTCTGTTGTGACAAAGCTTAATAATAACTTACACAAATAAAATCGTTTCTGTCATTACTCTCCATGAAGAGATTTCTCCCAAATGTGGAAGGCATATTTTGGATGGTCTCACTGAAATACCAACAGCATACAGGAAATACCAGGAGCCTTCCCTGCACCCACAGGGTACCTTCAGAGATCCTGAGACAGGCACAGTGGCCCATTACAGGGATTTCAATGAAAATAGAGATTTCAAATATGAGCAACAAATTGAAAGTCACAAGGGAGGATCTGTGACTCACGCTCTTTCTCCCGTTGGCGGTTGTATTGGGGATGTTCCTAGATGGGTGGTGGCAGGGATTTATTTGCCTGTTAATTTCCCCAAGCGGCTTGGGCAAGTACAGCTAGTATTCCATTCACTAACTAGTCAGATTGACCCATGTTCTCCATTCCCTCTAAAATACACAGACATGATCCAGCAATCCCACTCCTGGGCATATATTCCAGAGAAAACTATGGTTGGAAAGGATACATGCACCCCAGTGTTCATTGCAGTGCTGTTTACAAGAGCCAAGACATGGAAACAACCTAAATGTCCATCAACAGATGAATGGATAAAGAAAATCCATTGTGGTACATATATACAATGGAATATTACTCAGCCATTAAAAAGAATGAAATAATGCCATTTGCAGCAAGTGAAGTTAAGTCAGACAGAGAAAGACAAATATCATACGATATCACTTAAATGTGGAATCTAAAAAAAATGATACAAATGAACTTGTTTACAAAATAGAAACAGACTCATAGACTTGGAAAACAAACTTATGGCTACCAAAGGGGAAAGGTGGAGGGGGGGGATAAATTGGGGGTTTGGGGTTGACATATACACACTACTATATTTAAAATAGATAACCAACAGAGACCTGTATAGCATACGTAACTCCACTCAATGTTTGCAATAACCTAAATTGGGAAAGAATTTGAAAAAGAATAGATATATGTATATGTATAAATGAATCACTTTGCTGTACACCTGAAACTAACACAACATTGTGAATCAACTATCCTCCAGTATAAAATAAAAATTAAAATAAAACATAGACAGGTGTTCATAACATCGAGCGTACTCTATGCTACAAGGTCTACTCTCTATTATGCCTATGTCTTTCTGCTCTCACCAGTTACCAAGTTAGTTATTAAGTCTGTTTTTTTTTTTTTTTTTTTTGCAGTACGTGGGCCTCTCACTGTTGTGGCCTCTCCCGTTGCAGAGCACAGGCTCTGGACGCGCAGGCTCAGCGGCCATGGCTCACGGGCCCAGCCGCTCTGCGGCATGTGGGATCTTCCCGGGCCGGGGCACGAACTCGTGTCCCCTGCATCGGCAGGCGGATTCTCAACCACTGCGCCATCAGAGAAGCCCGGCAATAAAGTATTTTTAAACTGAGTATGTACATTATTCTTTTAGACATGCCATTGCACACTTAATAGACTATAGTATAGTGTAAACATAACTTTATATGCACTGGGAAACCAAAAAAATTCGTGTGACTCACTTTATTGTGGTGTTTGCTTTATTGCGGTGGTCTGGAACTGAACCTGCAGTATCTCCAAGGTCTGTCTCTATGTAAAGTTGTGAAATGTAAGTAAGTGAAAAAAAGGCAAATGTTTCTAAGAAAACTGAATGCTTTGCAAGGACCCAAATAAATGTGAGCCACTAAACGCAAAACAAAAGACATCAGCAAGCTGCTGAACTGGTGTGTGGCGGCGTGGACAAGGCAGCTGTTAAAAGAAAAAATGAAAAAGAGACTTTAAAAATGCAGCAGGAGTTTGCATTCAGACTTGTTATGCCTGGAAGTTAACGTGAAAAAGGCTCAGGAAACTATATTCAGCCAACACATATGTCCCTACACTAAAAAATCAATGTGTGAATGCAAGTTATATGTTTTAAGTTTAAAAAGATGTTGAAGAGGTGAACTTGTAAATGACTTTCAAGTAACTCAACAACTGCTAACTGAGAGCTGATATAAGGTCTCTACTGTAGCAGCAGCAGCATGAATGAGCATAATAACTAACACAGGAGAAGTCTTCCTAGTTGAGGGATCACTAGTTAACAGAAAAAGTCAAAGTGAGAAATCAAAAATAATATGTGTATACCATAAACCATATTTCAATTTAAAATGTACTGTTTAAAAATAAAAAAAAATACCATGATTATTTAATAAGAGCAGCAAATTTAAGTTGCTTTAAAGTATGATATTTTTCTTGGTATAATTCCTTTAGCTTTTTATTATTACAACATTGAAGAACAACATGGTTCTGCTGTTCTTCAGTAGCTTGTAAACCTACACACAGGGCAGTGCTAGCCACTGCGTGATTGATTTATGGTCTTGAACTTAATATCTTTTTTGTCCTCTTCATATGGATTTATCTGTTTATGTCATGGTATATATAATTTCTCCATCATTTAAAATTTTATTTTCCAACAAATCATCATCATGACTCCATTGTTGTTTACCTTCCTCGTCAGAATCTTCAGTTTGTCTGAACTCAGATAAAAACCCATTTTTTTTTTTTAACCATTGTCTTACACATCAAGATTTTGTGTTAAACTTTTCTTCTTAAGAATTTCATTCCAGGGGACTTCCCTGGCAGTCCAGTGGTTAAGACTCCATGCTTCCAACATAAGGGGCATGGGTTTGATCCCTGGTCAGGGAACTAAGATCCCACATGCCGGGCAGCCAAAACACCAAAAGAAGAAAAAAAAAAATTTCATTCCATGCCTTTGCCTCATGGTCAACAATATATTTTTGATATATTCTGTAGGATCTATATCCTTATTTTCTATTTTTTTTCCAAAATGCAACTCAAACCCTTTTTCCTAAGAAATATATTTAAAACATTTCATAATTCTTCGATCCACAGACAGGATCAAGAATATTATTCTTGCGGGGGGCACAGTAGGGAGGGGAGGACCAAAAAAAGGCCTTTAAATTCCTGACGATTAGGATGTAAAGAAAAGCTACCTAGAAAGAGTATGAGATTCTCAATTTTATTCTTCATGTGTTTCTTCATCGAAAGTACAATTAATGACAGAAACTACCTTCGATCAAGTCCAAGTCTGTTCCATTCACACTGACTTTTATGAGTAGTAAACTGGTACAGACTAAACTTTAAAAAGCTCTACTTATTTGCCAGTAACAGTAAGTGACAGCAGAGCCATCTTCAGGGGCATGTGACTTGTGCAGTCGCACAGGGCCCTGTGCTCAGAAGCGCCCCGTGCTTGTTTAATGTTCTGTTGCCATCATCTTGAAATTCTTACTAATTTTTGCACAAGGGGCTTCATATATTCACTTTTCACTGGGCTCTGGAAACTTTGTAGCAGATGGCAGACAGCTATAAGGAGTGCTGCTGTTTCCCCCTCCCCCCCTCACTGATGCTCTAATTTAACGCTACTCTTTTTGGAGGTAACATCTTATAAGTTGGACATGTTTCAAAATTGCAGACACATTTGCCGATCTAATTTTCTCTATTGATAAAGAACTCAACGTTCGGTAAAACTCTGAGTTGCAGAGGCTATCCACCGGTGCTCCTAAAATGGGGACTCTATGATATGTTTCCCTGGTGTTCAAGCCACTTGCCACCTGCTATAAAACTTTCAACACCCACTTTCTGATAGAGAACTGAGGCTTGTCCCTTTGAGAAAAGGTCTGCCGACTGTATCAATTATACCTGTCAGGCTTTGCCTCCGATCTCGTTTTGGTTTCTTTAAAGTGAAATGAGAACCAAGCCAGCTGCCAAGCAGTCTAAGTGCAGAATCCTTCTAGAGTTTTATTGCCTCAACCTTTCATCGCCTCGCCCTCTCAACTTCAACAGCAAAAAGATTTTAGCAGCTCATTCTTTGAATCTTCCCGAAGCATTTAATAGTTTCATAGAAATAATTCTCATGCTTATCAACTTCAGTTT